TCTTTTATTTACTCAACCAATTGTTCAGCATCCAAAAACTCAAACCGTCGACAATCAAAGGTTCTTTCATAAAATACTGTTTTTTAATCTCTTTATTCCATGACATGTTTCGCGCAATCTTTCGTATGCAGAATACAATATCTAACATGTTATTGAATTTTAAAAATATTTGTTTACATTAACTACATATATTATAGTTATATTAAATCACGTCGAACGTTAGTTTCTAAGATTAAAATCTCTGCATAAAAATATCTTCATCCCTGTCATTATCTTTGACAATACAGAGATAACAATATATTTTAAACGGAGGTTTTAGACTCAGAAACCCAAGGTGAGTCCACCAATTAACATATTATGTTCTTATCCATAGCCCAGAGGCGATGTTAGCTAACTCCTAAATTTTCATAGCAATACTTACTCGTGAGGCAGTAATATAGATGAGAAAATAATCCTGACTCTCGTATGTACAGAGTTAGTTGCGAAAAGATATCGACAACGGCGATGCGGCGGATACAACCCGGGGTAGCCGGGACTGGCCAGTACACACGCGCCAGCACCGCGGCATGATATGTCCTGGTATAGCCAGTCACAATCTGGTAAACAAAAGTTTTTGTTACCATAATATTGTTATCCTTACTTTGATGTCACTCATAATTATGTTTCTAATTTATTTTTCATCATTTAAGTCGACTGGGGTCGAATTTAATGTAAATTATTGATAATAAATAATCTTAAAATATTTAAGAAGCTGGAACAGACTATTTTTTGATATTTTTATCCACTATTTCATATAATGATTCTTTAAAACTGTTCTGTTTGTAATAATGGTTCTTGGGAGTTTCAAAAAATCTGTAGAAAGTAATAAAACATCATATGTTTTAATTTCACCTGTATGCGGTATTCTCGAGCCCCCTCGGGGATGAAATCCAACTCCTTGCGTATTACTTAAAGATGTAAAACTGAAGAAAGCTAGAAATTGCGATCTTACTGTTTTTTCTGTTATCCTGGGAAATATAAGACGGATGAACAAAATGCTTTTTAATAATATTATAGGACATACAAAACTTGAGAGTCAGAAAATATCTTACCTAAAATCGAGTGTAGAAGCACCATGATCAGCAAACAATACGACAGGTGGTGTATATCGTTCGTTTTCTCCGCACAGACGCGTCTCAGCCACGCCGTCTACATTGCGAACTGCGCCGCTCAGTTGCAACCAGCCACCAACACAACTATTTTTAACAAAATATTAAATATTTTCATCGTTTGTCACATTAGAAAAATCTTATTATACATTAAGAAGAACAACATAAAAATTTTAATTACCTAGTTCCGTTAAACCGACCGACAGAGACAAGCCTATACAGTTGTATCTCCACTCTCTGTCCCGCATCTGGCTGTAGGAAGTACGAGCAGGCGCCCGGGCCCTCGATCGACGGCGACTTGATCTGGCCGAACGTCTTGCCCGACTTGCTCTTGAGGACGCGCGAATCGATTGTAATATTGCACACTACACAATGAAAAAGAAATGTATATTCATAGAAAGGCAGTGATAGATTACTAAAAAAATCATGTAACTGAGTATTTTATAATTAATATATTTAGCGTTGCATGTCAGAGACAGTAAGTACGAGACTGCTATTTTAGATACGTGACTACGGAACAGTACAATTTTTTTTATTAATCGCCGCCATAGGAACATGACTATTTACAATGAAAGAACACTAAGAAGTTCTATATTGACTTAAAAATAAATTATATTAACTAACTGTTGGAGCAATATTGTTCGAGTCCGCACTGGGCGCAGCGGCCGGGCGCGTCGTCGCCGCAGGGACAGGCGCCGTCCCTCACGCAACACGCGCACTCCTCGCCCACGGCCCCGCCGCCCGGGCACGCACAGCCCGACGATGACTGCGTCCACAGGTCTACTTGACCTACACCAACAATTCGTTTATTTGCCACCTTTGACGTCCATCAAATACTAATAATAATATTTTCCACTATCATTCTCTCACCCTAGAGGTTCTGTTAGTGGTCTTATTTATATTGCGACGCAATAGGATTTCTTGAAGTACTTACTGCTTGCATCAAGGAAGATTGGTGTCCAAGCTATCTGCGAGGAGACAATAGTGCAAATGGCAGCGAGAAGCAGCGCTATGGCGTGGTGCATGGTGCGTGTCGCCGCGCCTGGCCCCCCGCCGCCAGCTTCGCCTGTGCATACCCCTCCCCCACCCACACTATACCCTACGTAAGATAAAATCTATTCCGCACATCAAAATATTTTCTTCTCCACATTGTTAACCGATTAACTATAAGTTTGCGTTATATATTAACGTAAGCTAAAGCTTTGATAGCTTTTTTTAATCCTCTGGCGCAGTTGTTTGACTTTGTTTTAGCTCGCCGCATAAATCTGTAACAAATTAAACATTGTTAACCTTAGTGTCATAATGGAAACTCATAAGCCTTTGTATAATCGAGGTAAAATAGGCCAAGGTTTTTAGAAAACTAAAAAGTTGAGTAATTTCAAGAATAACTTATAGACAAACCTGAGTGTTTTACATATTCGTGTCATATTATGCATCTTTAATTATTCTGGAAATGTGATTTAGTAACCAAAATATCGAAAACTAATTTAAGATTTTTTCCAAATGTCAGCAGCAGCTGTCATTGTCAATTGTCAACAAATAAAAATGTAGGCACAGTTAAAAAACGAATAAAAAAAAATAGAAATATTCTTTAATTTTTATTTATACTTTGTACTTTTATTCCAGCATCACAGAATTTTCATCATCACCAAAATTCCACCTTTATATGTAACTATCGCATATATAATACGTATCGACACCCTTCCATTGATTACGACCAATCATGACTGCTGTTTTATCAGATCAATCCCCTCGATTCTGTAAAGCTCCCGCTTAAACCCTGCGGCTCTTTTATATATTATGACTATTACTTTTAATATTTATTTTATATGACAAACAAAACAAGATAATTAAAAAAACTTTATTACGGCACAATCACAAAATTAACATCACAATTTTCTTCGATCGGTTTCACTGTATTACGCGCACATTTCACTCTTCAACTCCTAAACATGCCGTGCAACAATTTTCCGGAACTCTACATCTTTGGACGTAAGTCAGCTACGAAATAAAAAAAAAATTATTGCACCTTAACATACATTAAACAGATATGAAAAAACATAACGGTAATACAAAAGGGTTCCGGATATAGAGTCATATATATAAATGTCGACGATGGAATTTGGTCACTAAATAAGTGGCAGTTGATGAATTTTTGGCGATCGATGTGGGAAGTTTTTGTGATAATGATCATGAAAAAAGTAAATAATACGGAATAAAATTTAACCACAAATATGTCACTTGTGTTCGAATATTCGGAATACGAGTAACATATGTAATACGAGTAACAAAGGTGTGAAGACAACATTGTTACTTCTTTTTCTGTTTTTGACTACCCACTTATTACCACAGATATAAGCCTACTTAGAGTTGAGTATTTTGTTTAATGAATAATTCTATAATAGTAAATTATTCTTTGCGGTATCGTCATTTAATTTTTATCATTATAAATGGATTTCAATTAATTTAACAGGTTTCAGCAGCCATTTTTCCGGTTCGAAGCCTGGTTTGTAATGAAATTGAATTTCTACTCGACGTCAACGACGTTTATTCAGCTTTTTGCTTTAGCTTCTGAAAGGATATTGCGTGGGAATCAATTCAGGTGGCGCTCATCCATACTTCGAGTTGAATATTAAAATTTAATAAACGAAAATACCTATTGCCTCGTTCGACGTAAATGACTCTATGAAAGAAACATGTGGGAATCATATCGTATCGACAATTCTTACTTTTACTATTCTTTTTTTGTATTAATGTTAGAAAATATATAATAACAAATATGTGTAAAAAAATCCCGAATAAGCGGCTCTGGGAAATGAAATAGCGCCATCTAGTGGTTGCGTTTTAAAACATTATTTTAAACTAATTCAACTGTAATGAAACGCTGTTTTATTTTACAATATACTCGAAAAAAAAGTTTTAGGAATAAACGAAATTTGGTGAGAGATTTGAACTCAGCGTCTTTGCCAATAGTGTTTTTCTAAAACTTTCGTAGATCCGTATTAATTTTTTATTTGAACTGACAAAAAGAAGGGTATTATAATTTTGAATCATTAGGGAACAAATCGCTATCTTTGTTACAATTATCTATCAGAACCCCTTAATGACAGATATTGGCCTTTTACTGTACAAACAAATCAAACAAAAAAACTACCTTTCTCGGCTCACAGGGGAGACATTGCACTGGCATTGATGGCGGTCTCTGTGTCGGGCAATAACTGCAGGCCACTTTACAAGCGTGTTTTGTTAAACAAGTGGGTTGATTAATCTAAAAGAAAAATATAAAAAGGGGTCTGTAATTTATAAAACAACACTTTATTTTTCTTAATATATACGGCAAATACAAAACAATAAGGCTTCATGGAACAAGACAACAGTTAAAATGCAAAATCACAACATTCTACGCGTCACAATCTATCGCAATATCATTCCTACATCGGTACAAGAAATTTGCGGTTCCCAACAATTTGGAATGCTCTTGATCTTGCATTCCATTACGCTTGAATGCGGACACAGGCAGGTTTTGTACCTGTAATCATACCGCAACTTTAATTCATAAGCATAATAGCTATCAATTGACAATCAATCGTAAGTCATTTCAAGCACTTTGACATTCTCTTCTAAAACGATCAAAATGACATCGATGTACTCGTTTCGTGTCATTTTAATCCTTTCAAAGTCACTGTATTAGCAATTCTCTTCAATGGCTTGATAGGCATATAAATAGGTCTATCCGACCAAATGGTGTCCGGACTTTGGCATAAATAAGAAACTCCTCCACTTTCGTGATACTCGTGGTCCTGAATGCCGTTCCGTTTTAGCGCAGTTGATGGCATAACTCTTACCTGCCAAGTTTATTGTACTATTTAAGTTATGTATGTTTTATACTTTAATAATCTATCATATAAAATAACATATTTGGGTTATTTTATTGTCTATTTGCATATTGTGTTGTAACCTTTTTATGCAACTTATTTTATGACGTTAATAATACATTGGCATGGTATTATTTTTGAACTGTTTTTTGTATAGATTTGGGTCAAGAAAGATAATATGCTTAACGTCTTAACTTTTACATGTTATGCCAAATGCTTATAATATGTAATTGCTAACCCTTACTCCGAATTCGTACTTCAACTTTTACTCATGTCAGTCGCCATTCTTATTTTCCCTTAAACTATTTATCGTAAATCTTTTTCGGCGACAGTCTCACGGGATTTACTTCATGAGTAATTCTTGGATATATTCTCTTAAAAGGCTCAATTGCAGTGTAAACAAAATATTTGCCATCGTGTTCTACCGCGCACAAATCACGCCTTGCTCCTCTATATCCATTAATTTGATCCTGTATCCCATTCCTCTTATAAGCAGTAGCAGGGAGTTTACCGTGGATATTAGAATCGAATTGTTCCTGAAACCAACGGAAAACTTAAAAATAAACCATTGGTTAGAGGATCAATATATCAATAAAGAATTTCTTAAAGTACGAATCTACATGAATACGTAAGCAACTGTCACCAAGCGTAAAGGACGGAGGAGAGACGCAACCTTGTTCGCGGTAGAGGACAACGGTGGCTATATTAAAAGTTAAAGATATACACATCAGACGAAAAGAGCTCTATAAAAGATTTTGCTTGTACTTTCTTTCGTCTATGCCACTTTTATGATATTGGTAAAATTCTAGGAATATACATTTAACTTACAATTCGGCCATCTTCATATCGGTAACATGGCATGACGTATTTGACTGCCGGCTTCGCAGGTGGGCCGGTTGGTTGACGGCAGGTCGGACAAAACTTCTGTGGTGGCTCGGAGCATAGAGTACACGTATGGTCACAATTACCATCGTAGCATATTTTCCTCGCCACCGGCGTACAAGGTCGTATCTTCTCGCAACAATATACTACTTTATCATTGCAACACGGAACGTATATTGGTGCACTTTCGCAGCATTTGACTTGAGGACTCACAAGTACTGGGGTTACGGCAAATCTTTCGCATTCATTTACGAAGCAGCAATCCATTTTTATATCTAATTTGTTCTTATATGATTTTTAAATAAATTAATTTAAATTTATTTTATAAAAAATACTTAAAATTTTTATGTGTTATGCATTACAGCAACTTCAAATTTTGAATATCGTATTATAAATTTATTTTTCCTTATCGTAATTAGAATGCCAGTATTTTGAAGAAGAATGTTTTATTCTAATTTTTTAATCTTAATCTAGACGAAAAAGTTTCAATTGATTTTTTTGTTACAAAGCAGAGTTTTGCGTCTACATTTCTGTTGGGGGGTTTCTATTACAGTTCTTGTGTGTTCCATTTTATATTAAGAGCAACTTATTATTATTTTTATCTCTTACTACTACAAATATAAACAATAATGTAACAAAATATTGCAATGACAGGAATCTAAATTATTAAAACGTGAATGTAGAAACAATAAATTTCATTGTAATCCGCAAAGAAAAAAATTATAAGTATAATATAATAATTTTTTCGTATATTTCTTGAAGCGAATCCACCCAAATTTGCGGAAAGTGATACCCGAGTGCGTGTAATTTATTTATGTATAACGATACTTTTGTCAATGTGGGCTGGGGGTTCTTTGGTTTGATTAATGGCCCTTTCACAAAGAGCAGAGGTGGGTACACTTGAGGATGCCTGCCTAAAGGCACCAATTTATCGGGTCGCAATAAATTTATTCCTGGGCGAGTAGTGAATAGAATAAATAAAATGGACGTTATTTGTTTCATGTCATTTTTGTGTTGTACAAAATTGTTTGTAATTTATCTAAATTTTTATTTACCTAATTTTTAAGTGATTTTGAATAAAAACAATAAGGCGATCTGTGATATATCGTGACTGATAAAGATACCAACTACTCTCTATACTATCAGATATAGGTTGCAATTAAGATATGTGTATGTTTCGGCAGTGCAAACTCACATTCGGCAAGAATACGAGCTACACATAAACACTGCAGCGCACTACAGCAGTTCAAGGCCGCTCTCCATCTCCGCGCCCTCGCTTACGAGAAGAACCCTAAACTGACGTCATAACGTACTCTCATTTAAATTCTATGATGTATACCTTAACTTAATTTGACTTTAATTTATGCAAGAATATTGAAAACTTTAATTTAAATCTGTGTTCTACACTAATGTTATAAACGTGAAATTATTGTATTTTTGATTATAACGAATCAAATCAAAAACTACTACAGCGATTTCAATTTTTTTCACCATCAGAATGCTACAGTATAGTAGTAGTTACTAGAGTCTATATTGGAAGCAATTTGAATACCACCTTTAATTATCCCTAATTAAGGGTAGCGTCGAGCCTCTCAGTGGGCACGAGGTGACTACGACATAGGCTAAATTTAATGTAGTTATAAAATATAAAAAAAAATCCACCAGTGCGGAACTTGGACCAACCGATAATTCTTTAATAAAACGTAACATTTTTTTTGTAAAATAATATAGCCAACGAGCACGCGGCTCACCTGATATTAAGCGACGACTGCTGTCTCTAAATCTGGCCAATATGTAGTGAAGTCTGTTACTTCGACGTACATTTAATTTTCAGTTGTTAAATACATATTAAATAAAGTGTAGTAAGTTTAGAAGAGAAGAAAAAGAAGCTGTTTTCAACTTGAAAGTAAAAGTTATTGATTGCTAAATTTATTATAGTTTTTAAAAACTCAATAAACTAATGTTTTATATTAATTTAGGTTTCTGGTACATTAATATACTATTTAATAAATGATAAATTGTGAAATAATATTTGATAAATTAGAATTCTGTATAATTTCAAATTCCTTAAGAATAAATAATTTGTCGAATTGGAATTGGCAGGTTTGCATCATATATTGTGGTTTAAGGAAGCGACGCAGTGCGCAAAACTTTTGGCACTCTTGCCTGCATACAAAAAATTAAGTACTTTATTGCTACGGTACAACACTATGATCAAAACTTTGTCGCTAACTTTACACATTTAAATTATGTATTACACGTCATTGCAAAAAAAAACCTGCCATCGGTATTATGTTATTCCGGTACTAAATTTACAGTAATATAAAGCAGATAAGATATTAAGTAGTAAGAAAATCGTCATCATTTTTCATTCATTTTTTTTAATATTTGCCAATTTTTTTCCATTTTTGACATTTATGCTAGATATTATAGTTAGGATAAAATACGTATATCGCTAAAAGTATGGTCAATAAGAAATATAGTTTTATAAAGCAAAGGGATTTATAAAGGTTCAATTTTCAAATACTATCGACGCATTTGTATAAATCGTATGCATTTAATTTTATTTCAATTATTTTTTTGTTCATGTTATCATAATGTAAACACACAGCAATACTATAAACATGAAATTTAGTGATGAAATTTTAACAAACAATTGTATTTTTAGGAAAAATCTTATTTTTACCTACCTTAAAATTTCACAAGGATCTTCGACAATATTCAGCAACACACAAAAACGTCAAACAACATTGTAATATCTAACACCCACTTATGATTGCTCACTTTGCCGTCTTATCAATGTTTGAAGAGCGGAAAACATAAAAAAAATATATTCAACCCTTCAACATTTTTTTTATATTTTTTTTTATTTATTCGTATACTTTAATTGTATTTTCACTATTGACTTACGTAAGTAGGCACGTCGTTAACGTAACGGTATTGTTACGAGACGTTACGCGGAGTACTGTGGAGCCCGCGTTGGCCCCGTGACGTCTGTCGACACTCTGCAAGCTCTCGCTACAACACTAGTGCGCATGCGTCAAACTGAGTCCTAACTCAGACACCACTCAGTAGGTCTCTCGCGGACTATTCAAAGTTTTTCTTCTTACCTGTAATGATTGTTATGGTAATAATATGCCATTTTATCTTCGTTTATTGTGAATAAAGCATACGTGCCAGTGTTTCTGCTTGTATTATTTTCCTGCAAAAGATTTGTATGTAGCAAAAAAATTGTTTTTTCCACAACAAATCACATTATAATTAATATCTGGTACTAGCTGTCCTCCGCGACTTTAACTAAATTAGTAGCGTATGTGTTCATCCAGATTTGTTCTATATCTATGTCAAATTTCAGCGAGATTCATGCCGTCGTTTGGAAGATACCTACTTACAAACATACAGCTACCCGTCCACACATCCAAAAATTCGCATTTATAATATTAGTAAGATAGTAAGAAGTAAGATATTGTATACGTGTTTATTCGCTTGTGTGGGTTCTCTTGAGTACCGCGTACATTTTAAGTATTCATGAAAGGTTGGGCGTATGTTTTTTGGGCCAATAACCGGCTGCCCGATAGGTTCCTTATCGTATTTTTAGGACGGTCGCCGATCCCTCAACCGTGACGCTTAACAACTTTACTCTCACTGTTGCTTCATTTCCATTTATCTTATAAATAAAACATGACCGCACAAACAATGCCGGAATTTATTATGTAAGTAGGTACGCTGAAACACTTGAGTTGAATCGTCGGAGCGCGATTGTATCTTTTCACTTTGAAGCATTTTTTTAATGTTTACATTTTTATTATAAGCTGTGGTAGAGTTTAAACGCATTGGTTAGAGTTCTTAGATTTACATTTAAAGGACAGAATATAAACAAGGCATTGGCTAATGGTTCGCTAGTAGAAGATGTCAGTGGACAAATCTGAAAATAGTAACAATCGATAGGGACTATATGTAGGTTGAATCTATTCATGCATGTGTTCTATCTTGTAGAAGATTTATTTATTTATTTACATTGTTTTCTTTAATAATATAAATTTAGTAAGTACTTATTGACCTTTTATAAGTAGAAGGTATATTTAATTCGAAGCAATCTCAATAAAGAAGGAAATAATTCGATTAAAATGTAAATACCTAACAATGTAAAAGTCAGAGTTCCCTGGGACGGACATACGTCAGTTGAAGCCACAAAAACCGCTAAAGCAGATAGCTTTCGACCTAATTAATGGCGGGCAGAGACTTGAGGTTAAATTAAGCCCGTCATAAAAACTTTTTAGGGTGTGACGACGTAGAAATTCAAACTTAGATTGTTTTAAGAATCTTATTAATTTTTGTATAAATTTCGTGTAATAATGGTATTGGTTAATTAAATTGAGTTGTATAAAAGCAAAAAAAGAAAAAATGAGCTAAGGTACTTTTTAAGCCGATAAAAATTGTCTTATACTTTGTAAAGATGCCATAACAACTCTTGGAGTTTTCAACGAAGCTCAGCTTTAAACGATCAATACAAAAAGGTAGGCACAATACAATCAGTTTTGGACAGCTAATAACAATGATTATTAAAGCTAAAATATCTATAAATGTTGGCATAATACCTGTTTACAAGCAATAAACAGGAACATTCCGAATCTTTTTAGGCATCGTCTTTTCAACGTAGGTTGTATTCTCGGAAATATAGAGCTTTGTGTGTTCAAGTGAATCAATAACAAATGTTCATAAGTATCTAAAAACAACATCGAACAGCAGAAAAAATAAAAGATAATATAATATGAGTAAAGCGGCTTATTAGTTTAAACTACTTCCATAAAAAGGAACTTTTTACCGCTTAAACATAGATTTAGCTTTGGTAATGTCAACTGCGACAGGTAATCCCCACTGTAAATAGAAAACCGAGGTCACAATGACGTCAAACAAACCATCATGTTATATGTGCTATTCGCTCTTTTATGTTTTACTTTACGATAACATGACTGAACCAAGTAGAAAGTTATACATAGACAAAAGGTATTGCAGGCGTTAAGTTTTCAATTTATTAATATAATTCTTAGTAATAATATAAATGTTAAAGTTTAGATGGATGGATGTATAAATGTTTGTTAGAAGGTATCTCCAGAATGACTGAACACATCTCGATGAAATTTGTCACAGATGTAGATCATACCGTAGAAGACATTATTTAGCCTATTTATTAAATATTTTTTTTAAACCGCGCGTGTCCCGCGGACTCGTGAGCGCCAGTTATTAAATAAAGGTTGTTTAACGCAAGAGTATGGTCAGTTTTATTGGGTTTGGACATAAATACTAGGAGAACTTCATATTTCTTGGTACCTAGATTGAAAGCTTTGTTAAAGTTTGATTTGCTGCCACTATT